GATCTCCATCCTAACGCCACTACGGATCTGCGTCCTAACGCCACCGCGGATCTGCGTCTTAACGCGGTTACGGATCTCCATCCTAACGCCGCTACGGATCTGCGTCCTAACGTCGCCGCGAATCTGCGTCTTAACGCCGTTACGGATCTCCATCCTAACGCCGCTACAGATCTGCGTCCTAACGCCGCCGCGGATCTGCGTCTTAACGCCGTTACGGATCTCCATCCTAACGCCGTTACGGATGCCGTTACGGATCTCCATCCTAACGCCGCTACGGATCTGCGTCCTAACGCGCCGCGATCTGCGTCTTAACGCCGTTACGGATCTCCATCCTAACGCCGCTACGGATCTGCGTCCTAACGCCGCCGCGGATCTGCGTCTTAACGCCGTTACGGATCTCCTCCTAACGCCGTACGATCCGTTACGTATCATCCTAACGCCGTTACGGATCTCCATCCTAACGCCGTACGGATCTCCTCCTAACGCGCTTGTCTACGGATCTTCCTAACGCCGTTACGGATCCCTCCAACGCGCTACGGATCTGCGTCCTCACGGTCTGCGTCCTCATGCCGCTGAACTCCATGCACATGTACGAGCCGCGGCTGCACATCGTACGCGTGAATGTCATCCCCGGCCAGGGTCTAGAGGCGGTGGGGGTCATGACCCAGCGGCTCCAGGTCACCCAGTTCGTGGCCGTCACCGCCTACCAGAACGACAAGGTCAGTTACCGGCCACGGGTCAAGGCCCGACAGGCATTGAGGTCGCGGGGTCAGGGTTTTGGGTGTCAGCGCGGACGCCGCTGAAGAATGGCGAGGAATGTTCCTCTTCAAGATCATCCTAGCTCGCAAGCCACAGAGTTGGTTGGATGGAGGGAGGCTTCGACGAATTCTGATTCACACCCGCCGTTTTGGCGTTGTTAAGGTCTGCGTGGCCTTCTGATGTCATTTAAACATGACGAGCGTCGACTTCAAGGCGGTGTGATACAGCTTCCGGTTAATCTGTGCACTTAATCACTTTATTACCACTTGATGGTTGCGGCGAACTCATGTGAGAAGCATATCAAGCACTGCCGGTATTTATGTCCCTCTCAGATTGGTTTATTCAGACCGATAACGTCCCGGCACATACGCGAAGATGGGGGGGGGGGGGGAGGCAGCGCCAGATGACCAATAGAGGTCGGAAGGGCGTAAGGGTCGCTGCGGAAGCAGTTTCAGGTCATCGTGGTTTAGTGAGCACGAGGTAGTTGTCTACGCGTTTCTTTGCATGCAGCACAAAGATTTCCGTACAAATATTTTCCCAATGTTACGCTATGCCCTTCTGGCCGTAACACGCAAAGTCTCAAAGTCTCAAGTCAAAGCCTCAAAATCGAAGTCAACAAAGTCTGGTCCCACACTTGACCCCGCCTTGTTCGCCGCAGGTGACGGCGCTGAAGTGGAGAACAACCCGTTCGCGCGTGCTTTCAACCGTTCGGCATCGGCGCTGGCCGCCTTCGAACTGAGCCTGGCGCAAGCCGGCCACTGCTGGCCAGCAGCCAGCAGGGCCAGCCGCGCCGGCCGCCAGCGCCGGCAAAGGTCAGCACAAGCCGCTGGGGACGTGTTGCACGCGCCACTCACCCAGCGCCGGCAGTGAGCGGTGCGCGGCCGCTGGACACGGCTCTGGGCGGGCTGCTCGCCTTCGTCTCGGTTGTCTGTCGCGGCCGCTGGGCTGTGGGTACAGTGAGATGGGGCTGACCCGTCGGCACGGGCACTACACCGTCAACGGGGGATGAAGGCAGCGTGCGCAGGCCGCCCTCAGCACTGACAACGGCTGGTACGCGCTTACTGGGCGTTGAATAAATTACCTGTACACTAGCACCAAAGTGGTGTGGTCCGATCCTGGTGTCGACAAGGGTTGGTCCGCAGCCTCCGTAAGGTGTAGCACTTGGTACATTTGCGGGGGTGGGTGGGGTGCTCTAGCGATCTCACATTCTTAGCGTGTTAATGGCGTGCTCGCACGATATATGGTAATGCAGAAAACGAACTAACTAAACCATCCCAACTTACCGTTTTAGCCTGAATCAGTTATTGAGAGTATACAATCATTTCTCGTTAAGTATCGCCCATAGCCTCTGTGCTGATCCGTGAGAGGTGTCCCCCTCCCCCCCCCCCCTCCTCCACATTCCGTCGCCAAAGGCCAGAGCATAGTTACTGACCACGCGAGAATGTGGAACGCGACTTGTATCATGCGCTGCAAATGCGGCCGAATGTGCGTATAGTAGTTGCTACTTTATGAGGCCTTGCCTCGCATGTGCCAGCAATAACGCTGCCAACACGTCCATGTCATATCACGCCGTGCAATTTTTACAAAACTACGTGCTAACTGAACACTTTATACCATCTCTGCATTTTTATGACGTCGAAACCTGCACGTCACCTTCAGTGCCACTCTTTCCTCGTTTTCTCCCCTTGGCCTGTCTCGGTCCGTCACTACCACGCCGGCGCCGGCAGGTCGTTTCAACCCGTACCCTCGCGTGGGCGGCGGCTCGAGCGGCCCGAAGAAGGGCTCTCCCAGGAGCAAGGTGCAGCACTCGTGCCGTACCCCAGGACGCGCCCGGTGAGTACCCGCCGATGACGCCAACACGCTCTTCCTGCACGGCCGGAACTCCCTGGACACCCCGACACTCCCTCTAGGACGTAGCCGGATGGCCAAGGGAGGCCCCTTCCTTGGAGGTCATACCTGGTTATGCACCCACGCCCTCTTTGCGGGCGGGTGAGGCGGGCATTGACTGCATGGGCGTCCCGATTGGTCGAGTGTTGATTCGCGTTGATGCGCGTATTTTGGGGCGTTTGTATCTGGGGGGCCAACGCGTGACGTTCGGAAAGCTTCGACGATCTGCGTTATTGCCATTTGGAGGGGACGTCGCTGAGGGAGATCAGAAGGCGGCCGTGCCCCCCCCCCCCCCCTCCCTCCCCCCTGAGCCAATGGGTTGGAACTTGATACCGGGGAGGGGTTTTTGTTGAAATTTGGTCAAGATTCCCGGGATTTTCGAGAAAAAAAGCGATCTTCTCCCTACCCCTGAGGCAATGCCGCTAACTGAATTACTTGTCGACCGGCTGGCAATGCTTTCAAACGTTCTTTTCAGTCAAACCACATTTTCAACAGAAATGATGGGTAATTTTTTGACGTTTGTTTTCAAAGAAAGTCCACAGAGGCTTCAACTGTCAACTTCCTCCTATTGTATCTAGGTTCTCCTCAACCCTAAGCTCGCTTTCCCTCCTCTGTCCACCTTGTTGGTGCCTCGCCTGCCATTTTCATGCAGTTCAGGGCCCTGCTCCTGCCGCGGAACACGACGACTCAGAAGTCTCACTCTAGCGCTGGGGCTTACAGCCCGGTGGAACATCCACAGCCACGTCCCGGCAGCCGGCTGGCTCTGGTCCGACCCCACAACGCCGCCCAACGTCCGCCCCTCCCCCTCCGCTCCCGCCTGACGCGGGAGGCGCGTGTGGAGTCGAGCGTCCCGCTCGCCCCGAGCGGCGAGCCCGACCTTTTGACACCCACCCCGCGCTATCGTCCCCGTATGACCCGGCCAGCGGCCTGCACTGGAGCAGGACCGCCTGCGGGCGCGACCGCGTGGGAGTTCTCGCCGCTATAAAGCCATTCCGTCCGCATCTGTCCGAAACACCGCGACTGTAGCTGCCGATTGATGCTGTCTGTTGTCCGGCTGTGTTTTACTGCGGAATTTAAAACGTCAGCAAGCGTGGCCGACGGCAAACACAGCCTCGCGCGCGCTGTTGGCTCTCTTCGGCCGTGTCTATATGCGTGTCTATAAACAGCCGACTTATTTGCATCTTAAACATTGCGTAAGCGCATCGCCATGAAGAGCCAATTTAAACAGTGACTGCGACTCTGATGTGGTCTCGTACATTGCGAGTCACGGAGTAAGTGAAGTGCCTAACGGCCAGTCCGGTCGTGGGTCAATTCGTGTTTACGACGCACGACATTATCTTCTCGCTTCTTTGACGGGTCCATGTCTCAGTCGGTCCATCCTCCTCGATTGGCGGTCCCATAACACACCAGTTACTACTCACTGCCGACCATGACCGTCTGCATTGAAGTGTTGTATTAGGGGCTCTGCACATTGTGCGGGTCGGGGGAGGGGGCGCCATTAGCGTGGGTTCGGACCAGTCGGAGCGAATGGTGTTGGTTATTGGCGGAAGCACACTGCAGAGCACGACCCGGCCAGGTGGCTGTTCGGGCCGCAGCGTTCGAGCCCAGCCTACTCCTTAATTGATGCCGGGAGTCATTAGCTTGCGTTATCCGGGATCGGCCGAGGCGTTCAAGTGATTAGCCGCCGGTCAAAACAACGCCACCAACGTGGCCGATGGTGTAATAGCTGGCCAGCCCAACGCCGCTTTATAATGAAGACACTGGGGAGGAGGGGGAGTGGGGGAGTGGAGGCCGTCTGGCCAGGCGGTGCCAGGATCTCTCCTGTTGACGGGGGTCAGGTGTTGTCGCGTCCAGATGTTCGGCAGAGCGTACCGGCGAAGACGGGCAGAGAAGTGGTGCCGTACCGCCGTGCGGGGTCGAGGCGCTTGGCTCCCAGGAGAAACAGCTCCTGACCATCATTCCACGCTCGAAATGGAGCCGTTCTTGATAGCGTGATGCTGATAGCCTGGTTGCTGATGTTTTTTGCCTAACTGCCATCCGATCTCATCATAGATCCTAAGCGTGGAAACTGTCCCGTCGCTGATAAAGCCAAAATCCAGGACGCTGTGTTAGTGCTTGTTTCTTATCTCGGATGTTGGCAACGCCAAATTCTCTTTCATGGTGGAGACACGGACAAAGGCAGACACAGCAACAACACTCGTCTGCTGCGCTGCTTCCCGAAACATAAGACAAAATTGCTTGTAAATTACCACGTAGTGACACCATAGCTTTGCATGCATCATCTGCTTAATAATTCGACCTTCATTGCGTGGCCATTGATTCGTGGGGCTTAAGCCTTCCCCTAACAGATACCAATGATGTTTGAAGGAAATGCTCCACATTTGAAGATTTGTGGCGAGTATTATACATGATAAATAAGCTCAACAGCAGACAACTGGAATACTTTAAGTGAGAAAGGGCTGCTCATGGGCATCACAAGTTTCACCGTTAAGTAAATATACATTTCAATATGGCATTGTTTGTTTTGTATAGTACTTTCATATAAATGATTGAGAGCCAATTAACGACGATACAATTTCGAAATCGTGCTCACGAGCGCCAGATATGAACGACTGGACATGGTTTCTCTTGGCTATGATTGCCCGCATGGTTAATAGAATCGCATGAATTTGAATGACGTCATTATGGCATCATGGACGCCTCGGTGACCTAGAAAAGGTCTCCTCGAAAAAGTCTGCACATCTTCGCGGGCGTTTAGCCCAGACCTTAAAGCGGTTTGGATCCTGAGAAGGGCGGAACTGTGAGCTGCATCGAATGATCTTCAAGATGGTTATTTCAGTTCAAAACCTCATGCAAATGTGGGGCCACACCCTTTAAGGAATTTCGCTTACCAGCGTGTGCTGGCAGTGACATAGTCTGGATTTCCCCCAGGAGGGACCCAAATCGGGGCTCAGGGAGCCTTGTTTCAGCTAGAGAACCCACTTTGTCGCTATACGTACTCTATTTATGCACGGGGGAACGCTGTTAGGCTCGAAATCCCATTTTGAAGCCTCGAGGGCCCGTTTGTTTGCTTGAGATGTCCTGCAGGCGTCTTAAACGCCAAAAAAGTGCTGGAGGCTCCGATTCGAGGGGGACCGCCTCCTCTGGGGAAAGGGGGGGGGGAGGGGAGGGCATGACCCAGAAGTATTCCCTTTCACCACACCGCTGTCCGTTGGTACCATATAGAACGGCATACTCTGACCTACTGATACATATTGGCAACCGAGAATGCCTCCTTCCTACGCTTGGGAAGTTGGCATACAACATTGAGTCTATGCGGTTTGTGAGGGTGAACAGCGATGGCGCCGCGGCCCGTCCCCGTCCATAGGCTCGGCTGATTTCCGGCCCCGTATCGCGGAGTCATACCGTCATCTTGCCCCGTCCTCCGCAGCACGCCCGGGCTTCCACCGGAGGGGAGGGGGGGGGGGGCGGCGGCCCTTCGCCGGCCCGACGTCCCCCGGGCCGCGGCAATGGCTTCCTGCCCATGTTTGCTCGCCACTTGGCGCCAGCCGTAACCGCTGAGGGATTCGGGCCGTGTTTGGACAGGCGTCGGCTGTTTGCGGCCGGCGGGCGGCGGCGGTGGCCTTTGTTGCACCGCCCGCCCCGCCTCCGACGCCTCTGCAAACGGCCGCTCGCCCCCCCCCCCTTCACCCACCGCCCGTGCCAGTGGTGGGGGGGGGGGGGAGGGCTGGAGGGGGTCTTCGCGGTCGTAGGCAGCCACGACTATGGTCAGTCAAGATGCAGCGCACTTTGTGGTTCAGTGAGCTGCGCTTCCACGTTGGGCTGCGGTCAGTCGTAGAGGGTTAAGGCGCACCACGTAGGGGAACCAGGGTTTTGTGGCGATGCATTCTCGCGCGCGGCGCTCCACACCGCTAAAAACCGCCGCGTCGGTTCAGATTTGTGGTACATTTAAGGCTTTGTAGGTGGACAGCAGTCCCCGTCGGCTTCCGGGGGGCTGTCCCCAGACCGATTCGACTCTGCTTCGGGTCGTCTGTCTATTTTTTTGCGTGATGTTCGCCTGGCGTTGCCGTCCGCAGTCCGCTTTCACACGACCACCAGTGATATCGTGAGCGGTCTTCAACGCTGGATACTGTTCTGCTTGCGGTGTGTTCGTTTTCCTTCCGAAATTTCCGAGCTTTTTAGTGAGCCCCTGTGAAAGCTCAAAATTCCGATGGCTGGAGTCAGAAAAAAAACATTTGTATGACACATCCAGAGGCGCCACAAAAATGACGCTAATTTTAAACTGGAAAAACGCAATAAAAATGTCACGGGGTCCACCAGGCCGGTGCGAGCGTTGCGCACTGCCGGGGTACCGTTCACACGGCTCCACATCACGCTCAAGTTCCTAACACCCGAGTTGACGGCCTGGGCTGCCGGGGCTTCAACACCGCCATGGACCTCTGACCCGTCATTAGGAGAACTGGACGGTGAGACACCATCCAAGGCCTTAGAAGCGAAGAACGCAGCAGAAAGATATTCGCGGCTTTCGAAGTGAAAGCTCGCCACACCGCTGTGTCCTCAATCAAACCATGTTTGCTTAAGCTCTATGTAGCGATGACCGCCGGTGGCGGATGTTCTCACCGAGCCCATCCGCTTGGCCGTGATCGGCCAGTACTGTCATGCCGTGACTACCGTAATTAGCGTGGCGTCATACGGGGACTACCGTGACGTCATGCCGTGACTGCCGTGACTACCGTGACATCATACCGTGAATAACTTATCACCAGCCCCATCTGGTACATCAGAGCTGGCACAGCTCAGGCTGTACCAGACAGAGCCCTTACTTACCAGACATGACGCACCGGAGTGGTACCTGACGTAATGCGCCCGGCTGGTGCCCGACCTGGTGCGCCAGGCTGGTGCCCGACCTGACACGCCAGGCTGGTACCCGACCTGGTGCGCCAAGCTGGTGCCCAACCTGACGCGCCAGGCTGGTGTCCGACCTGACGCGCCAGGCTGGTGCCCGACCTGACGCGCCAGGCTGGTACCCGACCTGATGCGCCAAGCTGGTACCCGACCTGACGCGCCAGGCTGGTGCCCGACCTGACGCGCCAGGCTGGTACCCGACCTGGTGCGCCAAGCTGGTACCCGACCTGACGCGCCAGGCTGGTGCCCGACCTGACGCGCCAGGCTGGTACTCGACCTGGTGCGCCAAGCTGGTACCCGACCTGACGCGCTAGGCTGGTGTGCCAGCACGGCCGGCTAACGCCTCAGCACGCCTCAGGCGACGGGGCGTCTCCGGCTTGGGTGATGTCCTCGGAGCGGATATGTGGACCAGTGGCCGTTGTCCGCCGACCGTGCCTGCCGACCGTGCCCGCCGCGTGCCGGGGTCCCGACTGTGTTTTATTGGGGCCTCTCAGGACCGCCGCGCGCCGCACGGCACATCATAAAACGAAAAATTCGCCATCACGACTGGACGTTTTGGAATTCTTCGATAATTACATTAGGTGTGTGACGGGGCGAGATTGGCATTCCAGCCGGACGACGCGTCTGGGGCGTCCTCTCTCCTCCCCCGGCGCGCGCTCGCTCGCTCTCTCTCCTCTCCCGGCCGTTATGACACCAGGCCGGTTTACGGTCGGGCCAAACCGGTATGTGCTCAGACAGCCCGGCTATGTTGACGACGCGGACCTCTGCAGCACCCGCGACAGGAGGCTACTGGGCATTAGCGAGCGCGGCAGGTGGCAGCAGCGGCGCGTCCTATCCCCCCCCCCCCCCCCCGAGCGTGTATTGTGTATTTTAGGGGCGTGTCATATGTGACTGAGGCAAGCGGTCAATGAGTGAGGGATAAGAGGCTAGAGGACGAAGTTTAAAAGCCTTCCTTCAATCCCCGCACGTAAATTTTGTCAATCACGCAGCTAACGTTTGCTGGTTGACTGCTGTGGCCAAGGATAAATCGTGCCGCAAGTGGTAAGAGGGAGGAAAAGCAGAGAGAGAAAGAGAGGGAGAGAGAGAGAGAGAGAGAGAGAGAGAGAGAGAGAGAGAGAGAGAGAGAGAGAGAGAGAGAGAGAGGAGAGAGAGAGAGAGAGAGAGAGAGAGAGAGAGAGAGAGAGAGAGAGAGAGAGAGAGAAGAGAGAGAGAGAGAGAGAGAGAGAGAGAGAGAGAGAGAGAGAGAGAGAGAGAGAGAGAGAGAGAGAGAGAGAGAGAGAGAGAGAGAGAGAGAGAGAGAGAGAGAGAGAGAGAGAGAGAGAGAGAGAGAGAGAGAGAGAGAGAGAGAGAGAGGGAGAGGAGAGAGAGGAGGAGAGAGGGAGAGAGAGAGAGAGAGAGAGAGAGGAGAGAGAGAGAGAGAGAGAGAGAGAGAGAGAGAGGAGAGAGAGAGAGAGAGAGAGAGAGAGAGAGAGAGAGAGGAGAGAGAGAGGAGAGTAGAGGGGTAGAGAGGGAAAGAGAGAGAGGAGGAGGGAATGTGCGGATAGAAACTCTTGGACTGGGCGAGCCCGTGGGTGCGCAAACCACAGGTAAATCCGCAGATCGGGCCCAAAAGTTTGGAAACCTAAACAGGCATGGGCACGTGCACCGGCTCAGGAAGCTTTATATTTAATAGCTTTTATTAGCTTAATTAAGCTTTATATTTGACAGCTGCAAAACTTACACAAGTGTAGAATGTAGGCTAGTGTCAAGTAATATACGATGCTTTACCTTCTCTAAAACAATGTTACATTTTTAGCGAAGAGCTGTACGCTATCCATGAGGCTCTACGTTAGTGAATCTATGTGAATCCACGTATATGGTATCTTCTAACTCTTTGAGCTCTCCGGTAACCTTAAGACAAGCAAGTCAGCAGCACAAAATCGCTGAAGAAATGCTGCACACACACTGCTTACTTGGAGCAGGCTGACAAGCGTGTCGTTTTCGCCTGGGTACCCAACCTTTCCCGATATCCGACAACGAACAGGCTGATTCCTTAGCCAAGCAAGGTGCCACCGGCCTTCGCTTGGCCTGCTAAAAGATACCAGCATCAGATCTCAGGGACGTATTTATAGTGATTTAAAAAACACGATGGCAGCGCATCTGGGATTAATTAGATACCGATTCATTCGAGAGACCAAACTAGCTCGAGCCTTTAAAGCGCAGTTCGGCGAATGAAACCATCATGCTTAAAAAGAACCGACGAATGGGTCGACTACGCGTAGGCCCCACTTACGAGACGCGCTGGTGCCGGCTCTCCGAGGGAGCTCGACCACTTTGCCGCAGATGCGGAGCGCCGTTGTCCGTGACTCACGCGCCAGCTGAGTGCCCCAGCCACGAGGTTAAGCAGAATCGTGATCCCACACTGAATCACATTCCCTGTCCTGGCTGGTGGGGGATCGGCTTCGATCGATCTGCGAGCAGTTTTTTTTTACTTTTCAAAGGCGTTGACCTACAAATTTGTATTCAGCGACCCAGACAATTGGAAGCTGGGCCACATGGTCTGTAGACCATTTCTTGTTTCTGCGCTAACTGGTCCAGTACGCAGCTGACGCACTTTCAGCGTGACTAGGCATTAATGACAAACTACGAGCAGAGTTATGTTCAAAGTTCTAGTAACTAGTAGTTTTAGTAGTTTTTTGTTCAAATAACCAACGCAACTGACGCGCTCTTCAAACTCAGTAACTAACACAGTAACTAACCCAGCAACTAACTCGATAACAGCCCAGGAAGTGCTGCCAGACCAATCCTGGGACACGATCCTACACAATGTAATAACTGTGATGTTTTTTTCGATATCATTATGTACCAATAATCACACCAGCATACTTACAACATATTTCTGATGAATTTCATTAAGTTCTGAGAGATATTCACGGCAGTCATGTAACAGGGAATGTTTGCCAATGTCGTATACTTAAGCCGGCGGCGATGACGCAAAACATATTTCAAATTTCGGAGGAAAAACTATCTGAGTTCAAGCATTAGCTTGCACAGGTTGTCAGATAGCATGCATATAAATGTGCTTGCATAATAGCATGTCCTGCGTGCAAAACACGGGCAAAACGTGAACCACCATCTTCTACAGCAGAAACGCATTTCTACGGGGGCCAGGATGCTTCCGCAGTCGTTTTCATGGATGCAGTCTTGTATATACTCAGTGTTTTTTCTTCGAGTGCAGAAAAGCCCCGCTGCTTTAATTTTGCACTGTTCTTGCAAGCAGCAGTGGAGCGACACATCTTACTTCCACAGCCACCCTGGCGCACGTCCCACCATGGATTTCATACCTACCAGCGCGTTATGCTGTGCATGGCGTTGAGCCCACGTGAAAATAAATTGTCCCGTTTTGTAGAAGCCACGTCTCCGTGCCTCTCAGCCACGTCACCGTGCTTCCCAGCCACGACACCATACCTCGCAGCCCACGTCACTGTGCCTCGCAGCCACGTCACCGTGCCTCGCAGCCACGTCACCGTGCTTGCCAGCCACGACAACCGTGCCTCGCAGCCACGTCACTGACGCCTCGCAGCCACGTCACTGCGCCTCGCAGCCCCTCACCGTGTTTCCTCCCTGTCCCCTGCGGTCCAGACGACACTGTACCCGCCGCCGTACTCCACCGGCCAGCTCCAGACGCTGGGCTCCTACAGCAGCGCCTACGCCGTGCCCGTCAGCTCCATGTCCTCCTGACGCTGCAGGCGCCGCCCTCGCAGCTGACGCCGGCCGGCTCGCCTCACCAGCCGGCTGCCGCGGCGCGCAGGCCAGCCCCGCCCCGCTGTCGTGCGGCGGGCCGCCCTGTCCCAGGCCTCGCCGTCCTGCGCGCAGGGCGCCGCCGGCGCCAGCGCCAGCGGCGTCTTCTCCCACGCCTCGCCGTCGCAGTTCCACCAGGCCGCCTCGCCGTACGCTCAGGCCGCCTCGCCGTATGCCCAGGCCGCCTCGCCGTACGCCCAGGCCGTCTCGCCGTACGCTCAGGCCGCCTCGCCCCACGTCCAGAGCGTGTCGCCGTACGGGGGTGCCGTGTACCCGCGTGCGTCGCCGTCGTCGGCAGCGCCGCTCGGCGGGCACTTCCCGCAGCTGTCGCCACCGCAGTTCCCACAGTCGTCGCTGCCGCCGGACATGATGACGCCCTACCAGTACCAGCAGTACCAGTACCAGTACCAGTACCAGTGCCAGCATCAGCACCAGCACCAGCACCAGCACGGCCAGCAGCAGCAGCAGTACCAGCAGTACCAGCAGCAGCAGCAGCAGCGGCTGGAGGCGGCGGCGGGGTGCCGCGCCGCGCCCGGCACCCCGTCGCCGGCCTCCTCCAGCTCGGGCGGGCCGCCAGCCGCCGCCTGGCAGGCGGAGACGCCGCCCGGCGCCTGGGGCGACGCCTGCGCCTTCCCGCCGGCCGGCTACGGCTCGCGGCACGGCGACGCCGGCGTGAAGCCAGAGCCGGCGTACCTACTGACGCCGCCGCACGGCTCGCCGGCCGGCCTCACACCGCACGTGTCGCCGCACGTGGGCGCCGGTCAGCACGTGTCGCCGGCGCCCGTGGCCGGCGCGAGCTCGCACGGGTCGCCGGCGACGAGCCAAGCCCCGCACGGTTGGCTCTGCTCGGACGTGGCCGCCAGCGCCGCTGGAGCCGGTCAGGAGCTGACCGAGACGCAGCTGGCGCTGGCGCTGAGTTATTTCAACCAGGGCTCCATGGACGCGATGGCGGGCGGCCACTTGCACCAGTAGCGCACGCGCTGCGCCGTCGCCGGGTGTTGGTGGGGTGTCACAGGGGCATCGCCGTGATGGTGTTCGAAGGTCACTCAGGTGTCGATTGGATGTGGATCTGGTGGTCTGGCGTCCATTCGAATTTCCTGCTTTGTCGACTGTCCGGAGGCTTTCAGTACACCGACATGTCTCCAGGATCAGGCCAATAAGCCACCAGGCACCAGGGCTAGGCCAATGCACCAATGGTTAGTATTCACTGTGGTGCAGACACTTGAAGTGCCCTGTGACGACTGTGCGGTGCGCTGTATTCTGCAGACAGTGCCATCGGCTTGACGGCCGTCGAGACGGTTGCCGAGATGTGATGACGTCAGCGAGCGTGTGACAATGCAGTTTGGTGAGCATCGTGTGTCCCAGCGACTGCTTGGTCGTTAGCATGCTGGACCTGCGGACTTTCAACGGAGAGAAGTCTGTCAGCGCATGCAGCACCTTAACCTCCAAGTCCTCATATCTGACATAGTATTGGTTTTAAAGCCGTTCAGCTGTTTTTTGGTTTACTTTAGTCATTCCGTTAGTATTTAAGTAATTGTTGAACATCGCTTGCGCTGTCGTCATTGATTCCTCTCTGTATTTCTGCTGTATTTTTCTTATATCATGTTACAATTGAACAGGTCTTTTCATCTACGTATGCTCATAGTGATAACAAAATTTCAACCATGTTTTATCTATAGATGTTAAATGCCTGAATGACCTTCTATAAGCTTGAACATGTATTCTTCCTAAAAGGCTGGCACAAACACAGCACACTTGTCGGTTTATGAAATTCATCACCCGAAACGGATCTCAGCGTCGGCTCCTGACGAGACAACAGACACGACAGTCTTCAGTCGAACGCTGCAAATTCAGCTGACGACGCCTGCTCAGCTGGTGACGTAGGTGACGTAGGCAGTCAGCACGGGCCATACAGACATACCGGCGCGGCGCAGTTTGGGACCAGTAACAAACTCCGCGCGTGCCCCAGATGCATGAGTTCGGATAACGAAACCCCTGACTGCGCAGTTTGGGACCAGTAACAAACTCCGCGCGTGCCCCAGATGCATGAGTTCGGATAACGAAACCCCTGACTGCGCAGTTTGGGACCAGTAACAAACTCCGCGCGTGCCCCAGATGCATGAGTTCGGATAACGAAACCCCTGACTGCGCAGTTTGGGACCAGTAACAAACTCCCACGCCCCTGACTGCAGCGTTTTCCTGGGCGGCACTGCGCATGCGTCGACAGCAGTGAACGGGGACCACCTGTTTTGATGGAGATGTGGCATGCGGATGTTCAAAGCGTATGGATGGAGGTGGCCGGCGCTTCTCTTGATGTCGGCTGAGCTAGGCAGAGGTGTCTTTCTTGTGATTTTGATTCGTTGTTGTGCTTGTATATTTTGTACTTGAGTTGTACTATTTTGTGCGGGAAGTTTGTAGTTCATTTTTCTGTTTTAACTTCGTTCTAAATTTACTCAGAGTATTTTTATTGAATCATTTTGCCTTTTAGTTTTGTAAGAGCTTGAGGTACTTGCAACACGTTGAGCGTACCATTTGCACATTTCTGCCATTTTAAGGGGGAAATGCATCTCAAATATCGTTGGGAAGCCACAGCAGGTGACTGGAGCTCCCTTCACTAGCTAATTATGCTCGGGGTTGCCGTTACCAGGTGCGCATTTTTTTTTTTCGTTCTGCGTATATCAGTGATTTCAAGTTGTCATGGCTTGTGTGCACGACTTCTGTCCATGTTGTTCCGTGCATGACACTCCTGGTTGGTTCGTTAACCTCTTCCTTGTCACACACATCTCGTCGTGACCATGAAGTATTTTGTGTAGTTGTTGTAAATATGGGTTGTGTTTTGAAACGAGCTGTCCGTGTTTTTATGAGCGTGACCGCTTTCTAAATGCCATCGATTCACTACGTTAGGGGCTTGCCTCAAGGCAAATTCATCGCGAGACCTAATTATGTCTGATATTCTTTGTGGTGACGAGCCTTCCATAAGAGTCGACGCATGTAGCGAGGCATCACAACCTTCGTTTGGTGCAGCGCGATGTCTTGATTGCGGTCGTGTAATTTTAGCGTATAGCCATTCGTCTCATATCTTTGCGCGTTTAAATGGTGTAGCAATCATTTCCATCATTAGGACGCCTTCTCATCGAATTTTCACTTTTCTATCGATAACATACTCGTCAACGACTTCATGACCGAACATTTTCCGCGCTCATTATATGTGCTTCAATACAATGTCGCAACCAGCACGTCCTTTCGTTTGACTCATGCGTGACAAAGATGAAAATGGAGATAGACAAGCAGCTGCCCAGACAGGCCGCTTGTATGTGAGTCTGTGACATGGAGCCGCATTCGGTACCAAGCACTTTTTCGATCGAAAAGAATGGATTACGCGGCTTTGTATTTCTTAAGTAGGTTTTTAAAAGATGCAGCAAAATCAGGAGGTTATCAGACAGGTCTTAAGAAGATTAAAGCCCGAAGGCTGCTGCAGTGTAGCTGGGGGTCAAAATGGTATGGCCATCCAAACGAACGCCCGGACAGGTCAGGTGGCTCTTACATTTTCAGCATTCTCGGAACAGTTGGACTCCCCATAGAAAGCGGGTAGATCCGAACTGGTCAGGTATCCTAGAGAAATCGCGATTTCCATGCATATATATTCAAGCCTTCCTCCAAATCATTAACGATGACCAAGACAGTCTATGGGCCTACGGGTGGTAAAACACACCTCGGAAGAAGAAGACAATTAATGCCGTGATCTGAGATGTTTAAGGGACCCCAAAGGCGCTCAGGGTACTCAACTGCAATATAAACCACGGAGTCTAAAGACGATAAAATGTGATTCGATGTTAAGGAATACCGTTATGTAACGGCAGTTACGGGATACAAGCTGCAAATTTGATACCTGGCGGCAAGAAGAGACCCTCATGACCCTTTTTACAGCTTAAACGATTTATTCTGGTTAGGGTTCCCGGACTTAGAGTATCATATCGACTTAACTGGAACACCAGGATGATGTAGATTTAGGTGTCGAACATCAAGGTGAAAGGCTGTCCTGTGCGTTAACACGTATCAAAGGACGTCGATCCTTTTCTCAATACAATTTTGTATTCATTTTTAAGGACAAAATTACGTGATGAGGTTTACCCTGAATCGGCATCAGTATTAACCACATTCATGCTCAAAGTCATTGAGTTGCTATATAAGTCATAAAATCGCGCCGGTCTGCTTGGCCAGTTCAAGCATTTTTCATTGAGTCCGATTCCCCAACAGTCCACTGTGGGTGTCCATTCCAGCATTTTGGGCGTCAGGACTTAACACATAGGAAGGAGAGTACACCCTTGTGAGCATGTCGAGAACCATACCCTCGCAGCGAAACAACCTCACAATATGTCTTTATATGTCTTCACAATATGTCTTTCACAATATGTCAAAGCTCATCGTAAGGGCCGCTCGGTAAATGCACAGACGACGGCGCCAATGGTGCGCATGACTTTCCCCCTCATTAACGAGCCCAAACAATCCTCCTCTCTCATCGCGCTCCACAGATAGAATCCCTGCGTTGGAGGCAGACGAACACCCACCTAGCGGATGCCGCGATGACAACAGTGACTTCATGACTGTAGTTCTATCTAATTATCTTACTAGAGGCGGACCCAAAATTCACTGCACTATCTGGCGAACAATATCACTGAGCCGCAAGGGTAACCGGAGAGCAATTTTGACCTGCCAAAGCCGAAGTAGCTGAAAACACATCCTTTCGCAAACATCTCGGAGGTTCTACGAACCCCTAGGACGCTCCTCCTCCTGTGGTTGCAGCGCTCCTTAGCAGCGCCAAACCAAAATGCATTTTGCACTCTTTTGCTAGACACCAGTGACTTTCATGCCTCATGCAAACCGCAAGTTAATACCAATAACGGCCTATTGGGTAACCTGACCTTGTCTTGGCACAACCTTGACCTGACCTGACTTTGACCTTGGATGTTGCTGCCATCAAGGCGTGATCTGTATCTTGTATTTGTATTTGTGCACATCGTGAGACAGTGTCACACGGTATGCCTGTTCTGAGCTTCGTGTCAAGACAATACATGGCACGGTGGGTCCAGTGGATAGCGCCCGCGAGAAACAAAAAGCATACACATGGTCATACATGGTAATAAAAGCCGAGTAGTCGCCAATCGGTACCTAGATGTCCTTGTATCACGCGGTTTCTGCTCTCGATCTTGAAACGCGCGGGGTCCATTGCACGGATAGCTGCCGATAACTAATTAAACGCAGTCACGATCGAGCAATAAAACTTCCGCCTTCCAGACTCGGGGTGTATCGGGGGAGTCTAGATGTGCGATGTCTATGTCCATGTCGATGTCACAATGTCTAGTTGTGCGATGGTGAACGCCATATCTGGTAACAGGGCCACGAGCTCTCGGGCTCGGATGTCGTCAAAATGCCTGGGAAGCGCGAGGCCGTGGTACAAGTGCGCATTCTTTGCTGAAAGCCACGTAAGTCTCATAGAACATCGCTGATGGGATCCCATTTTCTTCGTCCGGAAATAGTCTTTGCGACGAAGTTTAATGCTGCTGCAATCGGCCTAGTCGAGTATTGTTGCTTGCCCCGCAAACGGTGATGCAATATCAGATCAGCGATACCACGAGTTCCCCTACCGGTATGACCGCAGCAGACTGCGGAAGGCTATGCTTACTGTGACGGGCAACGTCTATATGCTATGACTGATACTGTCTCCAGAAACTGACAGAATCCTGAAACAAACCAGGGGTGCTCCGAATAATAGCGGATTGAAAGGAAAGACGATATCAGGGTTACGGTTTAAACTGGAAACGGAAGCAATCGTCTCCGTTCCAAATTTTTCGAATTTGCAGACGTCCTTTTGGCGCTCTTGCTGTTTCACCACGCGTTCCCCCGTTCGCCTCCGTATCGGGATTCACGAGTGCAACAAAGGAAGCTTACCGTGCAGCTGCGCCACCTATACTCTAATGTAAGCACTACTAGTGATGTAGACAGCCACCAGGGTGCAATGCGAAAGAACTGCACGACGCGACGCTTGATGTTTGACGTTAGAACATTTCTCGACGCCGGCTAAAAGCGCAAAGCATTGCTTAGGTGTACAATATCACATAACACGTGCTCTTTGCTTAACTTCGCCACAGTTGTGTGCATTAGGTCAATCAATTCACGAAGCCAACTCGTCAGGGATATTCGCAAACAAGGCCGGCGGCATCGAGCGTAAGTTAGATCCAAAATATTCCGCCACTGAACAGTGTTGCTGATACACCAGGCTCATGACTGGTTGCCATAACAGAAGAAGTCTAGC